AGTTTTTACGCTAGGGGAATGAAGATTCAGCACGGACCCGTGTTTGTCTCACAATGAAAACCACGGACTTTAAACGTTTTATGCGTCGCTTCATTTAAAATGACTATGGAGACAACCATCACCTCCGGACCAGAGACATATCACCTGAGAACAACGGTAGCTCTATAATTAAGTGTTACTCGTGTTGTTTCTAATTGTTTTCGCTCTTCAATTTGTGACTTTCCTTGCATGCAAAGTAACGTATAAAATCGTGTTCTTGTGTAAGTTATATATAAAATCAGTTGGCGACCAAAATTTACAATCTGGCGACCAAAATTTTTCCGTTAGTCGCCACCTGGCTCCCGAACGAAAAAGTTAATTTCGAGCCCTGGATGTAGATTATTCATTCTCAATTTCTATGCATGATAGTTGACTCAGGCTGTGCCCTCATCAGCTATCACACGATAGAAATCTGGAGCTCATAATCTAATTGTTTAACAGAACATTGTCACACATGCCTTGCTCATGAAAAATAAAATTAGTGCTGTTTTTTATTTTTTATTTTTTTGTTTATTTTTGTTATTTTATTATCATTATCATTATCATTATCATTATCATTATCATTATCATNGGGGGAGGAGAGAACAAAATTGCAGTTTGTGGACTGCAATCCTTTAGAGTGAGTACATATAACAATACTTATTTTACAGAGTACTTGCCCTTGCCTCAGTGGCATTTCACTCATAGGAAACAGTATTGTTAAATAAGTCCAGATTGAAACAATGGTACATTGTAGATGTGTACAAAACATAGATACCTAATGCTTTTTCTTCTCTCTTTCCACAGTTCTGCTGACGATAAAACTTTCAGCTAAATTTGTCTTTTTTGTGAGTCGGGTTTTACCTGGTATTCTGTGGCAATAACTTGCAGAATCACATGTAAACCATTCTAGATTAGATAATTCCTGTTGCGGTACCTTTTGGTAGTTAATAGTGTAACTTATCATTTTAGCCACTAGTGGGAAATGAAAATAGATAATTGCATGCAAGTTTGTAAGGTTTGCTCATGTACCTTGTCTTTGAGAGAGTATGGTCTGTTTTGAACTTGCTATGGGCTAGTATTATAATGCAAACTATTTAAGCTGTATTGCCATACAGACAGTTCCAAGAACAGGCTCTGGTTGTTCGAAGGCTGGATAATGCTATCCACTGGATTATAAATAGCTATCCAGTAGATAAGTGTTAACAAAACAAACCACACTATCCGCTGGATAGTGATTTATCTGGTGGATTCCGATAGCATTATCCACCTTTCCAACAACCCCCTCCCTACCAAGTCATTTAGAACCAAATTTTTCTCAGTTTCCCAAGGCTTGTGTACATGTGTAGAAAAAAAGCAAAGCAAGTTTGCTGGTATGTGAACCAAAGCCAAGACTTCCATTGAGAATGAAACAGCTACATGTGCCAGTACTTTCTTTCAAGCAGGCTTGCTTAACTTGATTTATTTGATATTGTACTTGTTCCACAATCTTTGTAAAGAGTTTGCCTTAGTAATACTGACAGTCTGAGGTATAAAAGAGTCCAACACTGACAGGATTACAATTTAGCTGTATTTATTGAAAACTATGGAATCTAGGGAACATTTGTACAAGTTTTTATGGTAAGTTTCATTGTGATTCCTTGATCCAGTGGGCAAACGTAATAAATATTGTTCAATCTGTAAAGGGTGTATGTATGCAACAAGTTTGATTAAAGAGATCGTTGTGTCTGAAAAAAATTTTAAATAAACAATTAAAGTCAATTATACTTGAAATTTCATGTGTTTAGGGAGAATTTTGTGTTATTATAATCAGCGCTGGCATTATTAAACCTCAGATGTACAAGGTGGGGGGGAGGTTTTTTCAAAGTTTTTCAAAGTTTTGAAAACTTTCAGTAGCTGTTCCTTCATTCATGTCAGTTGTACCATGGCAACCATCATATTTCATATAGGTCTTGCCAAGAATCGGCTTTTTTTGAGATAATTCTGTATTTTTCCCAGTCCCAGTCTTCTTCATCAAATTGCAGAAATTCATGAATTTGTTCATTTTGTAAGCATTCTGGCTTGATTTTGTGTCAGTTTCCGTTATTTCTCGATTTTTTTATAAAACAGTGTAATTCAATCATATGACGTCATAACCAACAACAATGGTACCAACTTATAGAGCAAGCTCAGAGCTATCTAATCAATGTAAATTTATTTTGCTCTACCTTAGCAGAGGGAAAACCCAAGGGGGAGGGGTTCCATCCACCCCTTCCCTCTTGTACCACGGGGGGGTATGAGTTAGCTTAGGGTTAATTTTTTTTGTTTTTTGATTCACCTGTAGCTCTGATCTTCACACCCGTAACAACCTTGACCGCACGTTATTACTGGTCAACCGCAAAAGACACAGACGATCCAATGAACCAATCAAAACTCGAAGTCAATAAACGCAGCTGACGCAAAGCGCGAGAAAACGCGTGCAAGCGAGGCACGATTGGTTCCTGTTTCACTTTCTGATTGGATGAAAAAGTGGCGCGAGTTTTTCAGCCAATCAGGGGTATAGCATAGTAATGCAAGAACCAATTAGTTTTTTGAAAACCACGCTAACACGGTTTATTTATTACTTATTATAGACCTTACCACTCAACAGGTGTAACAGAGATTTGCTAACAAAGTGTTTTCCCCGCATGATCACCGAATACAAGCTCGTGCGAGGCGGCCGAGCCATGAATAAACCAATGCCGATCTCGCGAAAAATCGCATTAGCTTAGCGGGATAGAAAACTAGAAAACTAGATTTTAATTTTCGTCAGTTTATTTAACTAAAGAAATATGAAAAAACTAATGAGCCTGATCAACACCCACGCCTTTTTATTTCACAAGTCTACAATAACTTTCTGTACAAATTCGGTTGAAGGTCATGGCTCGGGAAAAAGAGCTTAATTATTTCTCATCACAATGACCTTTGTCCTATTTACAATGTCATTCAATTCATCTTATTACAATTATTTTAAATTTGTTCATGTCATCATTAGTCATGTCATTTTCTTAATGAATTATTCTTCATATAAATAAGCAATTTTCATTGCAAGTACATAGAGTTGTACAGTAATCTGGCCGGCCAGCCGATGTCTCAAAGAAACAAGGTGTTTGTACTACTACGTGTGGCCTATTTACAGACATTTTCTCTACAGTGATTTCCACGGTAAACCTATTTTCTCCTTTTGCTCTGTCCGCGGCTGGGACGAAATAAATAACATATCTCGATAATGTTTGAAACTCTTTTTATCACGTGTAAGGCAATAGCACGACGAACTAAAATTCGTACTAAAATCGGAATTTGATTCAATAATATTTTTTTGCGATCTTTCCGTAACCGCCAAAATATAGAACATGCAATTTTCGAAACAATCGCGACCTGCGTGAAAAATTGCATCTTGAGATTACATTTTTACATGTGGATTAATGTGCGGAATGTTGCCAAAATATTCCATGGAACCCAAGAGTGGTCAATATCAAAATTCTCCTTAAAGCACTACTGCAAAGCCTTCTGGTGGCTGTTGTAAAATGCATGGATATCAGAAAGGAGAAGAGAGTTTCTGATCTTAGGACTAACCACCGCAACGTGGATAACAGCTGAAGTTTCGAACGTCAGTATGGTGAGCGTTAGCAACATCGATGATTTTAGTCGAAAGACGTTATATTTACACATTTGATAGTTTTAAATGATGTAAAGTGATGCTCTTTGATCGTGAGATGGAGTTGGAAATTCCCTACACTATTTTTCATACTTTTTCAGTCGAGGCGTTTTCCCAGAGAAACTGAGTGCTTGCCATTATGCCAAAAATTTTGGAAATTTCGGTGGGAAGTTAAGTAGGACGGTCTGTTACGGTTCGGTCCGACCGGGTCATTCAGGACAACCTCTGGAGGTTGTCCATTTTGATCAGTCAGACCGAAATTTGCCCGTTACATTTTACCAAACCAGTTCGTCGCTCTACTTCTCCACTCGTGTGGGAAAATGAGAATGGGAATAGAGAATGGAAAAAGCCATCCCTCTCGGTTGGCCCGGTTTGAACGGAAAATGTCGTCCCAATGGTCTCTAATCGATTGGTCTAGCATAACGGAAAGCACCCAATGCGGCCAGTGTCTGGGCCTCATCACGCAACGCTAACCTTGAGGGAGGATTGCGTGACAACAAGGGATGGTGATTTGTTCAATGATGAAATTCTTCATACGGTGGGCCGGGTTGTTCGAATGCCGGTTAACGCTAGCCCAGGATTAAAAGTTAACCGAAATATTAATTTTTCTTGTATAAAAATGTTTTTCACTGCCTATGTTTTGTGTAGTTTGAGATTATTTAAACTCAAAACTGAAGGACGAACAATATAAACAGAAAAGCTCACCGAACCGAAAAAGTTTCAAAACTGCGATCAAAATTCTCGCTAATCCTGTTAGTTAGTTAATCCTGTTAGTTAATCCGGTTAGCCTAATCGGGCTTTGAACAACCCGGACCAGCTACAAGAAGAGTTTAAGAAGTATATTAGAGAACTGCATATTGAGCTAAAAAATATCAGAAGTCGATCAGAGAGCTTGAGGTATTTTGCTGAAGACGTTTCATCAAAATTTAAACCAATGCAGTCTTTGTCTTGGCCTGAGTTTGAAGTCCTGAAGTGATAGCATCCACGGAGCTTTATAAATAAATCTTCTTTAGTGCATGAAAGCAGTGATTAATGTCTCTTCAAAAGCTGTTTGTAATGTTTCGATTTGATAAATCTTGGAAAACAGTCATGGTACATAAGAGTAAATATATGGTCCTGTGCCACTTGAAAAGTGTCGTTGTCTGGATTACTCATATTTTTGTCGATTTCTGCTCGTACTTTGGCGTCGATGCTTACCTGCGAAGAAAAAGAACACAGATTGAACGGGTAGGCACGTAATACGTGCTAACGTTTACTTGAAGGTCGTTCGGTAGGGATTGCTCAGTAGCCCCACAAAGCATTCACAAAAACGATGAAAACGTGGCAGAAATATTTCTTTTATCTATAATTCGCATAAAAGAGAATTTGATTTCAAGAACGGAAGTAGAAGTTGTTTCTAGCTTATTTCTAACCTCTGTTGTTATGTTATAGAAATATTCCTGTTTTTGGTGTCTTGAGTTCTTGATGTACTTGGGGAGTTTGGTGAGGACTCGAGAAGTTCGAACTACTCTCAGATATCGCCTCGGGAAATTATTATGCTTGTGTAATGCTCCCCTAACTCCCGTGTGCATCCATTTAACTATTAGATTATGAGGTCGAGATTTTTAACTCGTCATGGTTACCCGAGTCAACTATCACGCATTGCAACCGAGAGGGAATAATCTAATTGTTTTAGACAGTACAAATCTACCAGCCGCTCACACTTTGTCTAAATCCTCTTCACAGACACTTTGAAAACGCAAAGAAGTGGCCGCCATTTTGTTAACAAGGGCACACTGCTAGGCTACTCACCATCAACAACAGAATAGATAACGAGTCGAGTATTCAATAAGAGAACGGCATTCGTGAGAGAAAGTTAGTAGATGCGTACTAAAACTCGGTAGATGTGCACCAATTTTTTAAAATGATTCGATCATTCAAGCAAGAATTAGAAAATTTAACTTACCTCTGTGGGTGACAGCGTAGAGACATAGTCCTCATAGATCACCCTGGCTTTTTCTGCTCGAGTGTTATCATCTGCTTTCTTGTATTCCTCTACCGCTAGCCAGAAATTAAGGTTCTCCTCTCCGTATTGTGAACGAAGAAAGTCTTGAAATAACTGCACACCAAACTTGTGTTTCAACACCGATTCAAACGACGTCGCCCATTTTTTAGCCTCTTCAGGAGAGGGCCTGTAAATTGAGGGAGAAGAGTCGTTAATACCGTGGCGCAGTAAATTTAGTGAGTTTAAATGAGTTTAAGTAAACTACGATCGCCACGCCGAGGACAAAGTTGATTAAAAAAATGAATATAAATTTTACTTACAAATCCAGCAATACTCTAAAGTAATTTAGTTTGTTTCTCTCTGTCAAAACTATCACGAAACTAAATATGGAATACAGCGTAACGTAAAATTCGAAATATCAATTTTAAATATTATCCGTCGTGGTTTACGTTCTCCACACAACGTAGAATTTAGTCATTTCACGTTGTTATTTGTGTTTTTTCCTAGAAGTTTTATTTTAAGTTAAAAGGACCTCTTGCAGAATCACTGTGTCAAATTTCTCTTCGTAAAAGTCAGTGGAACCTCTATATAACGAAGTCCTCGGTATAACGAACGATACTTCCTCGCCCCAGTAAAGGATATGAAAAAGAACCCCGATATAACGAAACCTCGATACAGCGAACATATTTTTGCCAGTCTCTTGGCCCTTCGTTATATATAGGTTCCACTGTACATGTAACAGGGTTCTAAACCTTACGTTTTTAATTTTCATGGCCCCTTTTTATTCCACTTACCTCCAGCATTAAACGCAATTACAAATTTTACGATTTTTCGTTTCAGGTGCAAAGTTAACAAATTTTGCGATTTTCCGTTTGCGATTTTTCCTTAACTTGACGATTTTTCGTAACTGCGTTCAATCCGCGAAAATCGCAAAAACTTTCATTCTCGAAAAGAATAATGAGGCGTAAATTATCTGTATGGACAGTACAGGCCTCAGTGAGTTAAATTATCTAAATTGGTAACTCGCCTCTTTACTTCGAAACAAGCCGTTCTTTTTAATGTAATCACAACCATCGGACTCTTTATGCCGCCGCAAATTAATTACCTTTCGCAGTCGAGGTCTTTCTCTTTTTTGGCCAAAAGTGCCGCTGTAGAGTCTTGTCTGTTAGGAATAGATACATGTTAGAATACCTACTCAGATGTTAAAGTTTAATCACGTACTTATGAAAGCAATAATTACGGAACGATACTAATTTGAGGATAGTAAGTGAAGTGGGCTGCAATGATTATTGCTCTCACGATGGAAATGTTCTTTCTCGCGAATCATGCCGGGTATGAGTTTGAATTTTCAGTCTCAAACATACCGTTGATCAGTGCATAAGGAACCGGTTATTTTTCATTCCCCGCTAAGTGAAAAGTCGGGGAAAATACGTACTTTAACAGCTTTTCATAACTGTAAATAAAACTATGAAGGTTTTCATTTTTATCCGGCTCCCTTTGCAGTTAACTGTCGTAAACGTAATTTTTTTTTATGGAAGGTATCACATTTTACCTAAAACAGTGACCGCCTCGTCTAAATAAAAGTAACCGGAAAATATTTCCTTTATTAATGATAACGTGTTTGAGTTTGCTGGGACGAAATGACATCCCAATTTCTTCACTCAGTTCCCCGGATGAAGACGCGTGGTGTTTAAAAGCCTCGTTAATCAGGGTGCACTCCATTGTATTTCCCTTAGACAATTCCTACACACGTCGCCACGTCACCACGTCACCTACAGATATTGAATTCTCATTTTTGGCAACGCGGAAAACATAGTCACTTTTATGAGCGAGAGTAGTCGATCTTCACCGCTCCGAATCTATGAAAAATGCTGTGACAAAAATTATTTCACTTGCACTTAAATTAATATGGCAAGACAAATAAACGCTGACGTTCGCCGGCTCGGCATTTTCGAGGATTACAACAACAACTAAAATGACAACGATTTTTGTTGTCACTCTTGTTAATCCGGACGAGTAAAAAAAATTCACCAAACAACTCACCTAGCGCCACAGCATGCGTACCAGGTGGTCTTACCAGCTTGTTGTCCGTTCGGGTCCTCCGGGGATACTGCCGAGGAACACCCTCCCATCGGCTACGAATGATCAAGAAAAAAAAAAGATCAGAAAGGTTAAACCTGCACATGCAAAGTCACCTCAGTTTATTGCCGGTAACCTGCGCTCTTGTTGAAAATCTTTTTTTAGTTGGGATAGAATGGATTAAGCCGGCGTTTTTGTTTCTTGTTGCTAAGAAACAACAGGTTTAAGAAACAACAGGTTTGCCAATATGATTTCGCAATTTCTGCTATTTTTGACTGGAAGGTGAAGGTCGCGAACTTTTCGCGACCTTACATTCACAGCCTTTCTTTAATTTTTTTCTCAATAACGAATGGTTTCTTCAGTAGAACGAAACGATACCTGATAGCACCAGAGTTAAGGAACAAACATTTTCGGGCAAATTTCGTAAACATAACCGTAGAATTTACAACCAATCAGAAACCACGGTTGCGACGTCAAATGATTAATGATTATTGTTGCCACGGTGATATGCCAGTCGCTTGAAATCCCGTCACTGACAAAATCGCGTGCTCAGTCAATACTTAAGGTCATTCCGCTGAAATAGACCCTGCACTGAGAGTTTTGTGAAACTTTGCCTATTGATTGTTTATATTATAGGAACTTAAATTTTGAAATAAAAATGAGGGGTCCTCATGTTCGTTTAGGAGCAAAAGCACCTTGGTTATACCCAATAATTAATCCTTATAATAGCACCATGATTGTAGTCACGATTACTTGCTAAATTCACGTTTCCGACAATTGTTTTTGCTTTACACTGAGAATTGGTCCATATTTATTTTACACAGAGAAATTTATTACTCAATTCAAAATAACAGAAAAAAATGATAGGTCACCATACTCGTTTGCGAGAAAATGACGATTTACCTCTATGGCGAGGTTCAGCCGTAGAAAAAAAGCCGCCATTTTACAATGCGCGCGAGCTAATCACGCGCTAAATTATGCGCAGTAGGAATGCGCAATGCAATACTGGGGAACGACCTTAAACAGGTGACCCCGACCGAAAGGGAAACCTTGTTCCCAGGGTCCTCTCTCTTCTGCGAGATAGAGATAGGACGCTGGGAACGAGATTGACAAAAGGGATGTTAGAAACTATCAATACAATCAACAAAGACGCCGATAGAAATGAAGCTATTGGAAATCTTATTCTTGAGCGAATACAAAAGCAGAATTTGATTTTGTGACGAGTTTAGCGGACTAATCCCGAAAATCTGGCGTACCAACACCGACCAATCGGTGTTACCTAACAGTTTAAAAAAGTTATTGAGCGTGTTAAAAGTTTAAACCAATAGGAAAATAGATTACATAGTGATATCGCGTTATAAATGACATATCTTAATAACTTAGACTTAAACCTGGACTATAAATCGTATTAAAGAAGCTTAAAGGGCATCGACGAGGATTATTAAAGAGAAAACAAAACTTAAAAAAAACAGTTATTTGTGCAGAGTTTTCCTCGTGTGTAAGACACCCCACAGAGTTAAAAAATTTCACCGTAGTTTCTGTGTTCGAGAGTCAGAAAACAACGAATTAAAGATTATAAATTCTGGGACAAACATTTTTGCGACAAAAGTACTTTGGGAATTACAAATCATAAAAAAAGAAAAACTAATATTTTCTTCTTACTAAAAATTAGCAGTTGAATATTCATTGATTACGATCTCCCAGCGCTAAACGTTTTCATCAGAGTACTTTTCCCTGATTCATGATGGTTCTTTCAAGAAACAATCAATTTATTTTTCTAAAAATATAAACGAATCGAACTTTGGAACTTGCCCAAACCAGCCAGCCAACTTTAATCACTTAATAATCGATTTACACAGCCAAACAGAGGCCTTAAAAGTCACTGGTTTTACTAACTCGAAGTTTGCGCGGATATTTCCTATTTTTTCTAAAGCATTATCTGCATCATTTAAGATAAGAAATACAATTCGCGCCACCGAGCCGGAAAAACAAATTTTGCCCGGAGCAAAGATTCATTCAGTTGTCCAGAGGGTTTGTTTGTCATTTGGAGCCGATGTTTGCTCAATAATCACTCTAAATTTTAATGAATCTCTCCTCATTCCGCGAGCGTTATATTTAATATTTTACGAACTATGGTGCATATTCATGGCATCAATATTGTGGTAAGCGTTATATTTTATCATACGTCAAAAACATAAAAACCGAACAGTGATCTATAAAACCAGGCGTAGTAGATTTCTATAGTTGTATCAAGGTCCTATAATATAACCGCCGGAAAACATAATGAATTAACCTTTAGTTGGACTAGACAGTTGCAGGCACCTTCTAACTGTTTGAAAAAAAAAAAATGCCAAAGAATGCTTTGAACGATCTTATGCTTTCATTGAAATAAATTTGGTATTTTTCATTCAAATCCGTGTACTCTGCCTGGAAGCCCAATTGACCATATTAATTGAAAATAAAAACTGAGGTTTTCAAATGAGTGAAGCTTACAATCGTGCTGTCCTGCCTTCGACAATGTTCAACGTACCTGAATTAAATATTAGCGTGTAAACTTCATATTACGATATGCTAGAATATGAGTGATAACAAAATTGTGAACGACAAGAACGCCTACTGAATATTCACTACACCCGCGTCGAGATATATTCAAATTTCTGTTTTTGGTGAAAATCATCCTTCTTGTTGTCCGTTCCTCGTTAAGTACATTTTTTTTTTCGCTAGAGCTATAATCATCAATTTTCAAAGTTGACAGTATCGCAAAGAATAAGTTACCTCATTTTGAAATTCTTTGTAGGCCGCCATGTAATTTCTAGACCGTCGCTGGAATCAGTACTGTATGAGGTAGCGCCGAAAATTAATTGCTCAGACTTCGAGAACGCGCACTTGATCAACTGGTATTCTGTCGCAAGTGCAAAGCAATTTAACGAAAACAGATTACATTTTCAGGAAAGGTTTAGAAATTCATTACTTCCAGGCTAAGCAGGTGTTTTTAGCCGTTTCTGAATAATTACAAAAAGAAGCCTTTAAAATTCGTCCTGTCATGCATGCAGTCAGTGGTTGGATGTTCTCCATCACGTCAGAATAAATGGTGCTTTTTTTAACATTTATTTTACCTCTTTAAGTGAAAAGGACTTTCCACACAATGGCCAGCTTTTAGTCTTTCTTTCTGGCAGGATTAAGACCTTAATACTTTAATACCACGGGACAAATGGATTCGCCATAGACAAGCCTCTCTCTGAGCGTGTAATTTCCGACTGGGCGTTAGGTTTGCAGTTGAACTTTTCAATATATCATTTTGTGACATGAATGGCACGAAAATTTCGTAATCCTTACGCGTAAAATAGTTGATTTGGAATCCAGATCCAAACAATCGCCTTCGCTGGCCTTTGAAACGTGTTAAGTGCAACGCAACAGCAAAAAAATCAAAACACCAACCCATTGAACAGTGATGCCATTAGCCGATATGAAACTCTCATTGTTTTGTTTTGTTTCGTTTTGTGTTTTTATTCCATCCTTTTTGCAGAGATTTTTTTTCTCTGTAGTTGCCAGTTAGAAAAAGTTCAATTGAGACATTCTGAATGTAATCTTCTTTACAATAACGTTTAGCTGAAATTATTTTGTCTATCGTGACAAAAACCAGCAACTTCAATGCAAAAATAAGTGATTACGGCCATACAAATTATGATAAACTTGCAGCGCCTACACGCTTTGGTTTCTTTAATGCGCAATTTTATTTTTATTTTTTTTTTATTTTTTTATTTTTTTTCATTTCCGTATGCTTCGCACGAACTGATGAAGGTCACGTGTTTAACAGTCAAGTTCTCTATGAATAAAGAAATCACATATGTTCACAAAACTAGACAAAAGGGACGAACCAACCCTCTTCAAATAAGTCATTTCGACCAGAATAACTATAGCAAAATGCATGGTTTCCCTTCCGCTAAAATCCTATTTGAAATAAATCTCAGCTGTGGTATTGAAGTTTGCCGTAAACTTTTTTTCCGGGAACTCAGAGGAAGTTTAACGTAAAATGCGATTTTGACTTCATTTTAATGACTTGCAAGCAGCCGGGAGCCTTGAATATTTTGTGGTTTTTCTTTTTCTCTTTTTCTTTCTACTAATTAGATCAGCGAGTCCTATTGGTTCCCCGTACACTGTAATCGGCACCTTTAAAGCATTTACATTTTGTTTGGAAAAAGATTTGTTATTAAAATCTTAGCAGACTATAACCGCCAGCCTTCTTTCGTCCGATTACAACCAACTGGGAACGAAAGAAAATCGAGTTTTCTTGAGCACGGTCGAGTTTTACTGAAAGAGAGAGAATTAAGCTTACCCAAATTTGATGCTCCTCGTTGCTGTGACTCGCCAGTGTCTCGAAAAAATACCTTTCAACGTAGAGTTTTCAAGTTAGAGAGCTTCCAGTTTAGTGGCCATTTTGAAGCGTTGTACTTAATCTGGCAAAACCTTGGGGCAAACTGTTTCACAGTCCTTAGGTAAACCTTTTTTTTTTCTCAGGAAGCGTGTCATATATCAAAGCTTCTTTCTTCTTAATTTTATTTACTCTAACGATACGGATATTTTTGTCGGAATGTTCCTTTGAAGTTTGCCATAATGCTGCAATTGTGACTGCCCTTGTGTTAAGTTACAGCATTGATTCTGTACACGGTAACAGAAACGCTTCGACTCTGACCACCGTTGCCGTGAATCCAACGCGTGCAAAAAAACTGTAGGTTCCTTAACAGCTTAGATTTTCGCGTACAATTTCAAGGGAAGCCCTGACCCTTTTTAAAAAATATTTTCCTTTCCTAGGTTATGAAACTCAACATTTGGCTTAAAAATTAATTACTTACAAACATTTCCTCTTTTTCGGAATCTTTGAAATGTCTTTCTTTCATTTCAGATGAGCTGGATTTGATAAGATGTAATAAATTTACCAAGCAATAAAACTTTGAAGCTATGCAATAACGGTACAAAAAAAACATGATAAACATAGGTTTCAAAAATATTTGTCAAAACAAATTGAAATGAAATTGCAAAAAAATGAAGGTAAACAGAATTCCGCACCGAATCTTTTGTTTTATACTCAGTAAATTTCGCTTTAATTTAGAGAAGATTTTGTATGAAGAAATAGGTCTGTGCTGATTCTCCCATCTGTCCGCTGGAACCCGAATCCGACACGGAACAAAGCACGTCCGTAATTTAGGCGAAATCATCAGCACGTGTGTTCAAAAGAGATCCTTTAATTTCTTTATCTGCCAGTGTAGTCCCCGCTTAACCCTAACCCTAAACCTAACCTCAGCTTAATGAGGGCACCTGGAGAAGGAATCTTAGTTCTATTAAACTCGTTTTTTCAAATGTTCGTCATGTAAACGATAAAGAAGCGTCAAAGTTTTCACAGTGGAAATGACCAAGACCACACTGATTGAATGTACTTTACATCTGGCGTAAGATTATGTCCGAGGGGAACGTAACATCCGAAAAACCGTTACATCCCAGAGGAACATTATATACCGGGGATCGTTATATCCGACAGGAACATTATATGCGGAAGATCGTTATATCCGAAAGGAACATTATATCCCGGAGATCGTTATATCCGAGAGGAACATTATATCCGGGAGATCGTTATGTCCGAGAGGAATATTATATCCCGGAGATCGTTATATCCGAGAGGAACATTATATCCCGGAGATCGTCATATCCGAGAGGAACATTATATCCGGGAGATCGTTATGTCCGAAAGGAACATTATATCCCGGAGATCGTTATATCCGAGAGGAACATTACATCCCGGAGATCGTTATGTCCGAAAGGAACATTATATCCCGGAGATCGTTATATCCGAGAGGAACATTATATCCCGGAGATCATTATATCCGAGAGGAACATTATATCTGGGAGATCATTATATCNGTTATGTCCGAAAGGAACATTATATCCCGGAGATCGTTATATCCGAGAGGAACATTATATCCCGGAGATCATTATATCCGAGAGGAACATTATATCTGGGAGATCATTATATCCGAGAGGAACATTATATCTGGGAGATCATTATATCCGAGAGGAACATTATATCTGGGAGATCATTATATCCGAGAGGAACACTATATCCGAAAGATCGTTATATCCGAGAGGAACATTATATCCCGGAGATCGTTATATCTGAGAGGAACATTATATCCGGAAGATCGCTATATCCGAAAGGAACATTATATCCCGGAGATCGTTATATCCGAGAGGAACATTATATCCTGGAGATCGTTATATCCGAGAGGAACATTATATCCGGGAGATCGTTATGTTCGAAAGGAACATTATATCCGGGAGATCGTTATATCCGAGAGGAGCATTATATCCTGGAGATCGTCATATCCGAGAGGAGCATTATATCCCGGAGATCGTTATATCCGAGAGGAAATTTATATCCGGGAGATCGTTACATCCGATAGGAACGTTGTATCCGGGAAATCGTTAAATCCGAAAAACTATGATATACGAGACGAATGTTATATCCCGGGGGTCGGTATATCCGTGAGGAATGTTATATCTGAGGGATTTTTTCACCCGATAGGAACCTTTATATCTCAGTGGGGGATCGTAATTTCTAGAGGAACGTTATATCTCGGTGACCGTTATATAGGAGACGAATGTTATATCCGAGACTAACTTTATATCTGGGGTATTGGTACATCCGAGAGGAACGTTATTTCAGGGAGATCGTTATTTGCGCGCGGAACGTTATATCCTGGTAATCGCTACTTCCGTGTTTGTTATAACGGGGACTTACCCAAAAAAGTTCGGTTAGCATGTAACGATATGGTCCTAAATCAGTAGCGAGTCGTGCTGCCACAAGTCCACAACTTCCTCAACTCAGGAGAGCATGAAGGTAAGAGATTTAATCCCATATATGGGCCTTAGTCCTGACGCAATCCTTCTCGAGCTATTTTTAGACCACTTCCGGTTTCTGAAATAGCCAATCATGTGACGTGGGTTTCACTTACGTGGGCAGCCCAAGCGAAGACACACGCATTTTACATCCTCTGGGAAAATATTTACGTAATACAAGTGGTAACATTGTCTGCGGAAGCACTGGATACCATGGCTAAAAATAACTTGAGAGGGACTACCTTGGGAATAAGCCCTACATGTATATAGGAGATATCTCTCTCACCTTTTATCTTCTCTTCATCCTCTCTTGTTAGTGTCATGAGGTGACTTTGGAATAAGATGTAATATCGTATTCCTTCTTAAAGGAGCTCAGTTACGGTATTTTGAGCTATTTTGGCCACGTACAAAATTACCTTAAAATTGAATGAAACCTGAAAAGAGTACTTTTCTAGGACAGAAAAACACCAAAGAGATAATAATAAACCATAAAAGAACAACGATGGTCAAGGATGGAGAAGATTAACACGGATTGCAAACGACAAACTTGAAAGATTTAGCCTAAACTTTTCAAGATGCGCAACCGTGGCGTAAATCCTTTCTAGAACAGTAGTCATTTGGGAGAGGCAGAACTCATTGCAAAACACGACCACGACATTAACTAAAATTAAGACATTTTTAGCCCATGGTTGAGAATATCAAGTTGGCTGTATCACGGTTGTTGGAATTGAGAAACGAAGATCACAAACGTGTGACACCCTAATTGCTTCAAAAGCGGAGCTCAAAATTTTAAGTCTTTTCAGACTGCCTGGCATAAGGCGCATGGCTTCAAGAGCTTGTTTTTCGAGATCTTTCCGACTATTTGTTTCTGAATCAATCAAATCGTTACCTATTCTAGGTTAAACGCATTGTCTCTCACTACTGAGCCAGGGTGTTAAATGTTTATTAATGATCTATCTCAAAAAGTAAACCATCAAAAGATCAAACAAATCGAAAACAAAAGGCCACGATGATCAAGTTTCTTCAACATTTCCCACTGGCGAAAACCTTTATTCGCGAAATGACGGAAGTTAATCCAAATGCTAATTTTGCAAGTCCCAAATTTGCTAGATTTGAAAAGTGAGCCCGTATACGTAAACATCGTTCCGCGGTCGTTAGAAAGCACAGAGAAAAAACAGGTCAGCAAAGGTCTGTAAAAACTTTCAAATAAAGTTGATCATTTGGGAAATTTCTACTAAAAGCTGAACGAAGCAAAAATCGAAAGCCGGATCACCTAAGTTACTGTTTCATCTTTCTCAGTTCGAAATGGACTAAATATAAATTGTTCCGTTGTCATGGTAAATCTACTACCGTTCGTTTTGATTTTATGCCTTAATTATCGCTCACTTTTTATTCTTAATAGCTCCATTTCCTCCAAACGGATCCTCCTCGCTAGTTTGCAAACAAATCGTTAAATCGAACAAAACATCTTTTCTTATTTTTAGGAGAGAAAAACATAATATTCCCCTCCAAATCTGTATTTACCCTTCGTTTGGATCGTTTACCGCGGTCCAATACTCTCTGAACACTGAAAGAGTTTTCTAATATTTCGAACTGTCTTGAAAATAGCTCTGACATGGGGGATTCAAAATGAATATTAGTTCCTCGATATATCCGATGTCTATTCTTTGCTTTATGCATGTAAAACTGGATGTTTTCTCTACTGTGTTTTCTTTCACGCTGGTTGGGGAGGTCATGGCTTTTTCGTAGATCGAGAATAAGTTATTCAACATGCAATGAATTGGTTTTCTCGCATCAGCGAACAAAGTCTCGCTCGATCATTAAAAATGACCGTTAATGTCTGTCTATTTTCTCAACAGCTACGGAAAAGTGAATTTGGCTCTCTTAAGCTCTCACTTCGTACAACGGTTTCTTGATCTTTAGGCATGAATTCTGGGGAAACGTTAATTCAGCAGTAACTCAACGCTTGTCGTCGTCTTAAATGTCAAGAAGTCAACCAAACCATTTCAACTCGTCATACCTTGAGAAGTTTTCGAGCCAACGCCGCCAGCATTACCTTTGTCATCTCCCACCTCGCTCTTATCTCGTGTTTCTTTTCAGAATGACTAGCTACGAACGTCGAGTAGGTCGACCTACAAGCGCATTAAACTTTGGTGCCATCGTTCTTGCAAAACATAGAGAGCTAAATCCACTTATCTTGAATGGCTCGCGGCAATATTGAGAAAGTCTATCCCTGCATAAATTTACCCTCAATAGTGGATTATGTGATGTATATTAATAGTATTTTGGACCCCCGCCAATGACGCTTTGTTCATTAGCTGCGAAGCCTGTAATTTCACAATTTTTCTTGCCAAAAATAGCAAGAACAAGTACTTTAATTGCGAAGAAAATAATGTTAAGTGATTTTAAAATTAGAAGCCTATCACTTGCGATCCAGCTGCGGTATCAATCAGAGGTGATTTTATGCAATATACGAATTCAGATATGAACCAATTCCTGTCAGGATCTTTTTCATTAAGACCTCTCCGTGTTTCTTCACAGAACGTAATTAGAATTGTGATCAGCACTAAGGCTGAAGAGCGGAGCCGCTTAACAGAATAACTAGTCGACTGAAATCAAAGCAAATCTTTTTACCGTTGCTTAAGGAAGAATCTCATTCAGGAAGTGAGAATAAGTACACTCTCTATTTTCTATGAGAATATTGGTTGTCCAGCCCAGGCTGAATATAGTTATTTTTCTGCCAATTTTAGGCTGAAAATATTCTTGTGAATATTCTCAGATTATGGCCGGCGCATGACATTTCCGTCTGACTTTGATGGTGTTGAAGTCATTTTGGAGCCAGACTGCAGCCGGGCAATAAAGTCCGATATGACACACATAACTTCTTGCAAAAATGTTATTAGCATCGAAAATACGGCTAGTGCTGTTTTTTTTTGTTTGTTTGTTTCTTTTGTGGCTAATTTGCCGTTTAAAGGAAGGAATAGTTTCATACGGTTTAGTTAAAAACATATAATTGTATAGTATTTACAAATTTTCAACACAAAATTATATTCTTTTCAAAATCTCAGCCTCGAGCTTATTCTTAAAATATTCTTAAAATTTTGCAATTCTTACAAAATTTATTCTTGTATAAAAAAAAGGGAGTGAACCTGCTGGTTTGGAACTGGATAATGAAGATGACAAATCTGGAAACTCGAGGTTTCCTTTCTTTTAAATTAAGCAAAATTAAAAATGAAATGAAATAACATTTCTCACGAAAGCTCTTTCTATATCAGGTTCAAACATATTATTGTTCTCATTACCCTTCCAACGTACGTAGAGAGCAACTGAATGTCTTCTACATTTATTAAAATATCATATTTATATACCGTGCAGTGAAATTTCTGGCTTCATTCTGTCTCGCTAAGATAATTTAACGAGTGAACATCTATCTCCATTAGACGGAATCTATCAAAGCAGTTTCCGTATACCTTAAAAATGATGAAAAACGACGTCAGTTTTATACTGTTGTAAGTGAATGTCAGTTAATTAAGGCTTCACAAAGCATTCCGCCAAAATGCAGTCAATTCTCTGGTTTCTGTTTATTGATCAATGAAATTAAGTTTGAGCGGTTGAATATCAGTGTTATTATATTTCTCAGTTACTGTGCGCGCTGTGATTGGTCAATTTAGCGGGCCCTATTCTTCTGTATATGCACTGCCCGCTAAAATTTAAAGTTGTTTTTGTTGCCAAAATGTTTCGTGATTGATCGCTTAGTGTTCTTAACTTTAATAGTAAGTAAACGTTGAAAACTTTCTTTCACTTTAAATTGTGTATTAAAACGTGCTGACGACTTAAAAATGATTTCAAATTGACTCGTTTTGCTTTCGACGTGCCTCAAAATTTTGAAGCCGTTCCGCGTGAACAGAAATTGTTCCCGAACTCGTCAGACACACATTAGAGATATAATAAATTTGGTACTAGCCTCGTCTTCTCGGTGCG